ATACCTACAAACGCAACATTTTTCAAATAAGCCACATCCCCCTCCCTTTGCTGTTCCGCCGGAATTAAAACATAGCTTGCCATTCATACAGGTGCCCACTTTTTCTTTACCGTAAGTCGTCACTTTACATTCCTGAGTTTGTTCAGGAACTAAAATAATTCGTTTGTTTAACATTTTTAAACCAAAAGTCATGAATAGCAGAAAATGTGTGGATAGGGGACAAAAAAATAAATATAGAAACAGAGCTGGGAAAGTTACTTCTGAAAAGTATTTAGTTACTTTTCTAAGATACTTTAAACAAAATAACTTAGTTACCTCTGGTAACTAGATACTTTGAGATAAAAGTATCTTTAGTTACAAGATACTTTTGAGTAACTAAGTTAGTATGAATAAAAACTATAAAAATTAAAAATTCAACAAGTTGTAGGTTAGGTAATTACTTTGAATCATTTTGGAATTTCCCAATTTTCTCTAAGAAATTATCTAAGTTTCACTGAAAAGGTATCTAAATTACTTTAAAAAGTATCTTAGTTACTTTAAAAAGTATCTAAGTTACTTTACCAAGAAACTTAGATACCTTTTTAGATACAAGTTCCAAGATACTTTTTCAAAGTAACTAAGTTAAAGATACTTTCTGTCCAATATAAAAAGTATATAAGATAAAGTATCTTAGATACTTTAAGTATGTAAGTTACATTTAAGTATTTTTTTTAGATATAGAAACACAAATTCTTACATGTACAGCAGTATCCCGTTCTACCACAATAGCTCCCCACTGTTCCCCCAAAGAAAACACATCTTGGGGTTGACATGCATTCTCCAACTGTTTCCCCATTTTTGCATCTAAAATTGGCGTTGAAAGGAGCTAAATAAAAAAATATTTCAGTAAATATAAACAAAATATGAAAATTACATGGTACCGGTCAAAAGTAAAATATGTAGATATATATATGGGCAGATCCATTACTTTTCGACAAAAGTGTGCGGGGGTAAGTCACCGATTTGGCTGCCGATTTTTTTCTAGAAAGTAGGTCATATAAGGAGACGATCCTAAAAATTTGAGCTCGATATAGGTAATTCCGGCTGCAAGAAAATTTTTTGAAATATAAAAAAAGTCGATTTTTTAGTCATTTTCAAAAATTTGTATCTCAGCTCCTATTTAACTTAGAGATTTGATCAAGACGGCATTTTTCTCTGTTATCCCTCTATTTTCAATAAAAAAATAGGTTTTAAGTTTAAACTTAAATCCGGCTAAGCTGTAAGCCTCCAAATAAAACACTGCTTAAGATAAATTTTGCCAATTTTTAAAGTGCTCTCAAATCTACAGTTTTTGAAGCAGTGGAATAAATGACAGATGATATTTTTCGTTAAGGTATACTCTGTTGGAATTTACCCATTTTTTACTTGATTGCTTTGATTTCTCTAATGTATGGCCACTCAAAGACAATTGATTTTTGAAAAATCAATGTTTTCAGATACCTACAACTTTTTTCTATCGATCCGAAATCCTTTGAAAATTTCAGGGATTATACTTTATTCTATTCCCAAACAAACCATCAAAACTTTTCCTTGGGTATTGAAGTGGTTTCCGAGCTATGAATTTTTAAAAATGTCAAATTTTCAATATAATATGACATTTTTGGTAGTTTTATTTTCAGTTAAATGAATTATTAGTAATACTTTAGTCAATAATCCATTGGACCTTGTTCATTTTTCTCGAAAGTAGGTCATTTAAGGAGACGATCCTGAAAATTTGAGCTCGATATGGGTAACTCCGGTTGCAAGAGAATTTTTTGAAATATAAAAAAGTCGATTATTTAACTTAGAGATTTGATCAAGACGGCATTTTTCTATGTTATCCCTCTATTTTCAAGAAAAAAAATAGGTTTTAAGTTTAAACTCAAATCCGGCTAAGCTGTAAGCCTCCAAATAAAACACTGCTTAAGATAAATTTTGCCAATTTTTAAAGTGCTCTCAAATCTACAGTTTTTGAAGCAGTGGGATGAATGACAGATGATATTTTTCGTTAAGGTATACTCTGTTGTAATTTACCCATAAAAGCCATACTTATTTTTATACTGACTCGGAGCTCCATCAGAGAAATCAGGAACATTTTGCATATACAGTTCACGCTTTTTAAAACAAATTAGTGCAAGTTCTGAAAAAAGATTTCCTATGGATTAAAAACATTATCTATTTCTCTGATGGAGCTCCGAGTCAGTATAAAAATAGGTATGGCTTTTATGGGTAAATTACAACAGAGTATACCTTAACGAAAAATATCATCTGTCATTCATCCCACTGCTTCAAAAACTGTAGATTTGAGAGACTTTATAAATTGGCAAAATTTATCTTAAGCAGTGTTTTATTTGGAGGCTTACAGCTTAGCCGGATTTGAGTTTAAACTTAAAACCTATTTTTTTTCTCTTGCAACCGGAATTACCCATATCGAGCTCAAATTTTCAGGATCGTCTTCTTAAATGACCTACTTTCGAGAAAAATGAACAAGGTGGATTATTGACTAAAGTATTACTAATAATTCATTTAACTGATAATAAAACTACCAAAAATGTCATATTATATTGAAAATTTGACATTTTTAAAAATTCATATCTCGGAAACCACTTCAATACCCAAGGAAAAGTTTTGATGGTTTGTTTGGGAATAGAATAAAGTATAATCCCTGAAATTTTCAAAGTATTTCGGATCGATAGAAAAAAGTTGTAGGTATCTGAAATTTTTTCAAAAATCAATTGTCTCTGAGTGGCCATACATTAGAAAAATCGAAGCAATCAAGTAAAAAATGGGTAAATTCCAACAGAGTATACCTTAACGAAAAATATCATCTGTCATTTATTCCACTGCTTCAAAAACTGTAGATTTGAGAGCACTTTAAAAATTGGCAAAATTTATCTTAAGCAGTGTTTTATTTGGAGGCTTACAGCTTAGCCGGATTTGAGTTAAAACTTAAAACCTATTTTTTTCTTCAAAATAGAGGGATAACAGAGAAAAATGCCGTCTTGATCAAATCTCTAAGTTAAATAAGAGCTGAGATACGAATTTTTGAAAATGACTAAAAAATCGACTTTTTTTATATTTCAAAAAATTCTCTTGCAGCCGGAATTACCTATATCGAGCTCAAATTTTCAGGATCGTCTTCTTATATGACCTACTTTCGAGAAAAAAATCGGCAGCCAAATCGGTGATTTACCCCCGCACACTTTTGTCGAAAAGTAATGGATCTGCCCATATATATATATACACTCACAGGCAAAATAATCGATCCACACAAATTTTCGATGAATTTCAATCGCAAATAAATTTTTTAGTTGATGTCGGATTTAAACAAATATTAAAGAAAATTGTAAATAAATTAATGGACAATTGCTCACATTTTAAAAAATTACTAAAAAATAGACGTACGTTTATAATATACAGGTTTAAACAAAAAGATGTTTTTTACCATAAGTTTAAGACACTCTGTAGAGTGGCAAAACCGTATATTGTTCTAAATTAAGTTTTATGTATCAAGGCACATCTATTCTTAACAGTTTTGGTTTTGGTTCACCTCCATATATTTATTTTTGTGGAAAATATGGATTTTTTTAAAAAACATTTCAATTTACAATATTTTTCTGTATGAAGAACTAAGGTTGCTATGGTCCATCCATAGCCTAAGGAGGATGACAGTGACAGTTTTGTTGAATCATCCCATTCTTGGACATGTCATACACGGCTTTCAAAAGCTATCAAATTGTTTTTTGCAAATTAATATTTAAATTTTGAGGTGTCTTCTTACTTTAAAAAATGGATATGTCTCCTACTGATGTTGCCAGAGCCATTAATTTAATCCAGGATGGACAGTCACAGTATTACGTGGCAAGTGTTTTAAACGTCACAAGAAGTAAAGTAAAAAGGGCAACATCAGTCGGAGACATTTTTAAAAGTAAGAAGATACCTCAAAATTAACACATTAATTTACAAAAAACAATTTGATAGCTTTTGAAAGCTGTATATGATATGTCCAAGTATGGGATGATTCAAAAAAACTTTCATTGTCATCCTCCATAGGCTATGGATGGACCATAGCAACCTTAATTCTTCATACAGGAAAAATATTGGAATGTTTTTTTTTTAATCCATATTTTCCACAAAAATAAATATATCGAGGTGAACCAAAAACAAAACTGTGAAAAATAGATGTGACTTGATAATTAAAAATTTAGAACAATATACGGTTTTGCCACTCTACAGAGTGTATTAAACTTATGGTAAAAAACATCTTTTTGTTTAAACCTGTATATTATAAACGTACGTGTATATTTTAGTAATTTTTAAAATGTTAGCGATTCTCCATTAATGTCTCTACAATATTCTTTAATATTTGTTTAAATCCGAAATCAAATAAAAAAGTTATTTGCGATTGAAATTTATCGAAAATTTGTGTGGATCGATTATTTTGCCTGTGAGTGTATAAACAAAATATGAAAATTACATGGTACCGGTCAAAAGTAAAATATGTAGATATGCTATTAATAAAACGGACGAATAGATTTAATGAGATAAAAACTTTTGTCCAGTACTTACACTTTATACCTTTGTTCCAGAAAAATGAAAACGGGTCATACATATCCGCCACATCAAAAATAACACATAAACCACTATCAACGAATAAAAATAAACTCAAAAACTTTAACATAATATTTTGAAAACACAACACCAAAAAATATCTTTAATATTATTTTCAAAAAATATATAAACACTAACGCACAGTAAGTCTTACCCTTTTAAAGTTCTTGTTGTTTCTGTGTTTTGTATTAGGATGAAGAATCATTAACGGTAAATTTAAGTATACTTAATAATAGTTATATAAGTGAACGATAAATTTATTTAATAATACACACCATTTAATCATTATTATACTTGACCATACTCACCAGAAACTAGGTTATCTATTTAATATTTTAATAGGGCAAATAATTATGAGTTTATGTATTAAATATAATTTATTTTAAATAAAAAGGTAAACATTCAGATTAAATATAAAATAACGCTCATAATTTAATTATCTTAACAGGAGGATAGAAGTTTATATGCATACTTAAAGAAAAATGGAAACGAAGTTGTATCAGACGATAACGATGTAGAATCAGGTAGAGTCCTAGTTGTATTCGAAAAAAATGTTAAAACCACTGGACCAGGAGTTACAGCTGAAACAAATTATTAATATATTTTATCTACATCTACATTAATAATAGTTGTATTAAATAATTTTTTGTATAACCAAAGTTAAAGTTGCCTTTTATCGACTAAACATCGGAAATAAAATAGTTACGAAAACTAGTTGTTAAGGTCATGATCGAGAAAAATATAGACGCTGATTGTTGTTCATATTGTTTTTTGACAAAAATGACATGTATAAGTAAAAGCGTAGAGCTTTGAGGTAAAATAACTTAATTTAAGTAAATATTTTGTTAAATTAACCTTAAAAATTTACTTTGAAGTAAAACTTTTTTTAATAAGTTATATTTATGTTATTTTTACCTATTTTATTAACCCTTAAATTTCAACACTTTAAGGTATTATGAGGGACCTAATTTTTACGAAAGAAAATTACTTATAAGTGAATTTCACATAAAGGATAATTTAACGGTAATTTTAACGTCAGACTTTTTACTTAATGGTAAATGTTACTCATTAGTCATAATTTTACTATATTAATACCACTTTATAACCGTAAATAATTCATATTCTACTGGTATTTTTTAGGGTTATTAGTGGTAATAAATACTATTAATATTGACTAAACAAGGAAAAATATCCTTAAAGTGAAAAATAAAACTTTAAGGGAAAATTTATTTCAGGTCGCCTTAATGAGTTTTTTAAAATGGCATCCATTACTTATCTAAAAATTTATATAATATTTTTTCATAAATATTTATCTAAAATATAATAAGGAAAGTTTTAGTTATTAAAAAATAATTAAAACTAAATGATTTTTATAAAATTTTGTAGGTTTTAATTTTTGTTGAAGTTTTACCCAAGCAATAATTTTTCTTAAAACCGTAAAATATTTATAGGGCATATAATTTTTAAGATGTATCGTGCCTATTTTTATCAATAACATACTGTGCGTTTGAGTTTTATTGCAAAATATTATTAGTTTTGACAATTTAAGTTATATTTTTTAATTTTACTCTAGGGTGGCCTTTATTACTTTGTAAGTACCATTTTGTAAAATATAAATTATATAAAGAACAAAGAAATTACGAATGTCAATGTTTTAGAAAAAGAGAGCAAACAGTAATTATAGCGTTATTTTTACGTAAATTTGTGGTATTTATATTTTTTTATTACGTTATTCTCTTAGTGGATCCAAAAGGTTATTATGTAGGTAAAATAACGAAATAAACCATTCCCCAAATTTGGTAATTTTTAGTACCTATAAATTTATAAAACCGTTTTGGTTGACCGTAAAAAATGCTTTAAAGTTGACTTAGAAGTAAATTTGTAGTTATTTATTTAAACTTAAGATGCTGTTTGAGATATGAACTAAAAAAGTACTTTTTTCACAAATTTTAATCGTAAAGCTGCAATTACTTTGCTTGGTTGAGTACTCGATTTTAATTTAGGTATTATTCTGTATAATATACACACACAAACGTAACTATAAGCTTATTATAATTTAAGAACTAATTGGAAGCTGCATTTTAATTTTTTGCCAGAGGATCCAATTCGGTACTATTTGTTGGTGCAGAATTAACTAATGATAACTTTACCTAATATAATTTATATTTAAGTTAGAACATTTTTAAGAAATTTAACACAAAATAAGAGTTGTACAAACATAACCTGAAACCCTTATATAATTTATGTTTAAGTTAGAACATTTTTAAGAAATCTAAAACAAAATAAAAGTTGTAGAAACATAACCTTAAAATCAAACAACTTATATTTAAATCCTCTAAAAAACGCATGGCAACATAATATTATAATATTTTAAATATATTTTATTAAGGGTTGTCTAAAAAGTCCACATAATATTTTGCTTTATTTTTTTTGCCATTATTTTTTATGTGGGTATTGGTTTATTGGGAAAATTATTTTAAAACAGGAAGATTGCCTTTCTGCTAAGAGAAGGTTTAAATACTGTATATATTGTATATATTTTGTATGTGTTATGACTAGCATCTATTGCTAAATAAAAAATATTTTATATATTTTTATTTTATAATACATAAGATAATACCCGTTTTTGGTATTTTACCGTTGAGTGTATTTAAACGACTTACTTACTGAATTTAAATTTTTACAATTTTTACGTAAATCATTAATAAAATCTGTATTTATTGTATCTAATAGGTACAATTGATATTTACAGGAACTGTATGCAATTTATTTTTTCATTCGGATTCCACCGTTTATTGGGAAACCTGTAAAAACTCAACCTCGGATTTCCTCTCGAAAAACACTCAAGACCACAACAAATCATTCCACTTTTTGTTTCCATATTTTTAACATTTATCTTCTTTAGAGTAAACAGACTAAAATATTTTCAAGGCATACTTACAATTAAATGGGTTTGTATCGTTCATACATGATCTGGCCGTATTTGTGTAAGTTGTATTTAAGATCGAAAATCCCGGTACACCTAAATAGTCAACGCATGTCGAATCATCAGTTTGTGGGTAGGTGGATTGAAAATTAACACCGCTAGGGGTCAATCTGAAAAAATATGTGTAAGTATATATGAAAATATTAAAAATGTAAATAGGGGGTGGTGCCTTGACGACGTCATTTCATTCTTCATCATAAGTTTGTACAATTTTAAAGCATTGTGATAGCGTAATGGTTAGGTACTGGACACAAATTTTTTCAAACATCGAAAATTATTATTATTCTTTACAACTAGCTGTTTTTGAGAAGATTTATTTTTCATAGTGACGGATTCATTGTTAGAGGAAAGTATCCCTTATATTGAAATTTGTAAAATACGAAAGGCATGGAGCTTTAAAGAGTACACTGTCCAGTCATCAGTTAGTTTCAAAGTGTACAATGTTCAAATGTTAATAGAATGCGGTAAAACTGATCACGTGGTTACCAATTCGTGTTATTTTTATTCCAACAAAACAATCTGGATGTTATTGAAGTTTTCATTCCTTCAGATCTCGTATTTGGAAATAAAAAAGAGAGTAATGTAGTTAAACCAGAAGAGTAGGTACTTGACAAATACTATTTGAAGATATAAGGAGAAGAACTTAATGATTACAGCTGAAAGACTGAAATCAGCAAAGTCACTAAAGCAATGGGAAATTAGCATTTTAATTTTCCAGAAGCAAGAAATATATTTTAAACAATGTCCATAGTCTTCTTAAAATATGAGGAGGAAAAATGCAAAAGGATTATTATCCATTTTTCAATTATTAGAAATTATTAGAGAAAATGTAAATTTTATAATTACAGCAATATCTGGTACTATATAATATTTTAATCATTGTAGCAACTATCGTCTTGACCTTCAAATGGAAACAGTATTTTTAATTAGAATGTAAAACTTATTCGTTTTTCAAAAAAGTAATTGAATACAATAAAATTTTGCATTTTTCCTCCTCATATGTTTGGTAGAAAAAGTACATCACTTAAATGGTCACCGTTGTCTGTCTATAAACCATTCTGAAACCATTCAACAATCTAGAGAAAAATCGAATGTAAAAATGATGGTCACTTAAGAGACAATGTATAATAATAATGTAATACTGAATTTATTAATTTATATACTTACTGTGCACCACAGTATCCAACCCCTTTCTTAATAGCAATGGAATAATATTGACCAGTTGTGTACGATTTCTCATATCCAAAAGATTTTATAACTCCTGATGGTTCGGTAAAGTACTGTATATATCCCAATGGTGCTAAAATAAAAACAATAAACATAAACATTGTACAAGCCATAACCACAAGCATAATTTTGAAAAATGTTTATACAGGGTGTCCCAGAACTCGCGCCACATTCATATGTGGATTTTTTCCCTGATAATCTTGGTGATTATAGTGAAGAACACCAAGACATAAAAACTATGGAAACAAGATACCAAGGTCGAAGTTTTGATAATATAAAAGATCCACCCTGTATATCAAAAGCCATGTTATGTTCATTCTAGTAAATACAATTAATTCATTAATATTTTTGTATCGTCAGGATGTCCACAAGTGATATTGTATTGAAAATAATTAAGCCTTAAGTCTTAAATATTAGTGTCACGCCTGTGTTAATATATTAAAGTAGAACTTATAGGAGGAACTTATAGGTGCTTATTTACCTAATAATGGAAAATCAGACGCGGAGTTCTCATAATCCGTCTTATCTCCACCGCACTGCAACTGAGTGATTTTGATTCTCCAATGGGGTAACTCTAAAGCATCATCCTCGGTTCTTTTAGCTAGTTTCATTGTTAACGTAACTTTTTCATTTCCTGGTGCCAGATGAACATACACTAAAAATGTTTTATAAAATATGTAGGAATCAATCACTTTTCTGCTGTAAAACTCTCTTAAAACGTATATTATTAACTTTGCAATTATAGAATCTTTCCTTGAAAAGGCATTAAAATATCGAAATAAAATCACCATGGTTATTGTTGTTGTTTCCACACATTACCGGAATTCCATAGTTGTCAGGTTCAATACTTAGCGAATCTTGTACGCACTGAATATTATTCGCGGCATCTATAGAGGCTTCTGCAAGAGAGAATGCCTCAAAATCCAATCTAAAAAAAATATTTTTAAACCCACCTTACTATTTAAAACATGTTTTTACCTGACTTGACAAACGTGAGGGTTCTGAAAGTAAACTGTATAAGAGCAGGTGGTTGGTTGATCAGCATTTGTGATGTAGTTTCCTTCGAAATAGGAAACTTTTGCTGATGTGGAAGTTTCGCAAGAGTTATCATCTAAAATGATGATGATTATTTTTTACAAACGTAGAAGAGATTAATATTTAGTACATACAAATACAACACTTTTCCAATAATCCACATGAGTTTCCCTTTGGAACTCCTCCAGATTTATGACAGAAAATACTTTTCATGCATACGCCCACCTGTTCAGATCCTGTACCACTACCGGATTTGCATTCTTTGTATTTTTCAGGAACTAAATAAATTGCATTAGAAAATATTATTAAGATGTTATTCAACTATACTTACAGGTGCAACATTTGTCTCCTCGGCCACATTGGTCTCCAACAGTACCTCCAGAAATTATGCATTTTGCTGGGTGTATACATTCACCTAATGCACCATCACTTGTACATCTTGACGGTACCCGACTTGGACCTAAATCATTATTTTTTACTAATCTACATACACCCAACTTTTTTTAACATTACAATTCGTGGTAATACAGACATATTAGTAAGACCACCCATCAGTCAAAATTTTGAAAATAATTTAAAAAAATAGTCTATATTGCCTTATAATTGCTTTATAAATGGGTCGTTTTCAAAAAACACCCACCTTCCGCTGTCCGTAAGTTTGAATTCCAATAACTTTGTTAAAAATTATCGGATCTTATTGATTTAAAATCCAAGTGAAAGCCTAACAAGCCCTTAGTAAACTCTTTCAGAAAATTTTTGTTTAGTTATTTCAGAATATTTTTTTTTAATTTTGAAACTTGTGAAACACACATTTTCGCATGTCCCATTAGCGTTTTATAAAACTTACATACATGTTTTTTTTTTAATATTGAATAACCAGAACTTTGTGTTGCTTTATAGCAATCCATAACATCCTTAGTTAATAATATAATAATATATAATAATTTATATATAAAATAATTAATTTTAATCTACTTTTTTAAATTTGACTCATGTCCCAGACATTTTTTCCGTTGCGTTACGTCCGTCGCGTTACCGATAGAATATTAAAAAAACATATATATGGCAACTTTTTTGGTACTCGCGTGATCAACAAATGATGTTCGGACGTACAAATTACCCAGCTGAATTTATTTATTCAATCAGGAAGAAGATATCGGTTGAAACAGGTGCGGGTAACGCGAATGTAATAATTGTTTGTCCGCTAAGTTACTCAAAAAAATAATAAAAATAAGGTAAGAAAAAATACTATTTTTCATGTTTATGTTTATTTTAGGGCACTAAAGCTCATTGAGAGTAATTAATGACTGTAATGTCTTATTATTATTTTTTAAATATGGTTTTACAAAACTTTGTCCACTGCGTTACCAAGTCCACTATGTTACCTTATGGTAACGCAATGGAATTTAGGGTAACGCAATAGAATTTTTCGACAACAAAGTGGATATTTACCGTCACTTTTATTAAAAGTAGTTTATGATTAACCAATTTAAAATTATTTGTAATTACAACTCATGATATAGATTACATCCAAGGAAAAATTCCACGCAATATAAAAGTACTAAAAGGGACCTTCACCAGCTTATAGTCAAAGAAAAAGGGTGTCTACAATTTAGAAATCTAAGTTGTTATTATGCAAGTGAGCACCACTACAAGGGATTTTGTCTATGCATTACTCTAAAGTCGTGCCACCCTATATAGTTTCTTTTTTTAGTTTTTGTTAAAAAAATACTTAAAATGATTTTTATACACTATCACTTGGTAATACGTGTTTATAAATTAGAGTTTAATTCACTAAAACAGTGACTAAAAGAAAATATTAATGGTATTGTTTTTTTAACAAAGAATCGGAATGGTTTCTTTTAAAAAGTAACTTAACGAACAAACATATTTAAAAAAAAAGCATACAATTTTTAATAAAAAATAAAATAAAAAATTTTAGTCAAAAGTTTGTGAACTAAGTACATTTTATTTAAAATTATTTTTATAACAACTTTTTTTATTGAATTAAATTTTGGATTTCAAATTGGTAACACAGTGGAGATATATAAAGCTAGATAAACACATTTTTCTGAAAAAAACGTAAAAAAATTAAATAGTGCACTGCCCGTCTTAAATGTGAGTAAACAAAACTCTAAACATTTATAAAAATCCAACCAAAAGTCAATTTAAGCAAAAAAAATATTTTGATCTTCATTTTCCTGAAAGCGGGTGTTTCTTGATAATGAGCCAAATTTCAAATCGATTTTTGGGTGAGGGTGAGTTTTTTAAAGTTTTACAAGACAATATCTTGAAAACAGTTCAATATTTTTTTGTAAAATTTATTATTTTCGAAATTAAAAATTGCACAAAAAGTATTAATTAGAAAAAAAATATTTTTTCTTTTTTAAGAAATTGTTCAAAATGTCGGCCTTGTTCCAAGCATTTTTTCACTCTTTTTTTAAATGATTTCCGTATATTCTGATACATTTCAGGTGTTACATTAGAGCAGGCAACGCGGATTCTGTCTTTCATGTCCTCTAATGTTGTAGGCGTAATGTAACACTTTAAAAAACTCACCCTGTATATTAATAATAATAGCAATTGAAATAACAATCATAGCTAAATAATTGTTTAATTTTTAAGTTTTTTGTTTCAAATTAAATTGTGTTCTAAAACATGTATTTTTGTTAATATTTCGGAAACTCAATGTTGATTATTTTTCTCTTTTCACCATTTTAATCAGAAGAAAAAATGCCTAATATCGGAGCTAGCAATGGTGTATATAGTTCTTTACCTTTATGCCACAAGACAGATAGGGGATCATACAGATCGTTCAAATCAAAAATCACACACAAAGCACTTTGAATGAACAAAAATAAACCCACGAATTTTAACATGATGCTCACTAGAAAACCTGAGGCAAAAATGAGAGGATTTTTTTCAATTTTATTCTTATATCTATCCAAAAACAAAAAGAGTATTTACCTTAAATCGTTAACGGTTCTTTAAAAGCTTTAATTCGGTAAATACTCTTGAACACGTTTTTTACGTAAATTTTACCCTAAACAAACAAGAATAACCACTTGGTGCCGGGTTGTATAAAAAGTCATTTAACGGTAAAACTAAGTATATTTATTAATAAATATTTTTCTTATACAATACAGTTTAGGAAAACAAACAATTTATAATAAATAATTAATTACATACTGTCATCATTTCGTAATTAAGGTAGAACGCGTTCGGGCCTTCGCCTTCTGCATTGTGGAAATGTGAAGAAGACTTAAACGATATTGTTAAAGGTCCAGGAGATACGGCTAAAATAAGTAAATAAATTGATTTATAAAATGTTTTATAATTTAAATAAAACATACATTCAAACCTGGAACCCTTTTCCAAAGCGGAAGAACAAATCTTTGCTATGGATTCATACGAGGGGTCTTCAAATTGCAAATATGGAATATACAGATAATCTGATACACACATTTTATCATCGATGCCATCGTATTCTTCACTAGGGAGATTAAGGTAATTTATTTGGAACCTTTAACAAAAAATGTAAGTAATAATAAAATGTATAATGTAGTTATTTATGGTACTAGTGTGTTATGTTGAAAATAAGTCACGCGAGAAAGATTTATAAATTATAAATTCTCAAGTGACTTAGGAAACATAACACACGAGTGGCATACAATGTTTTATACAACAAGTGCAAGAAAAAAACTTATAGAAAATGGAGGAAACCGATGAAAATTACGTTCCTGAGGATATCCTTACGGAAGCGGAAGAAGCAGCGATGCAGATTTTGCCAGAAAAGTCCCGAGATGCTTAAGACAAGGAGTTCAAAATGTTTGAGTCTTGGATGAATTCACGGAAGATAAAAGGTATCGATGAAAATGTTCTATTGGTTTATTTTTTACATTTGCAAAAAAATTATCCCCATCGTCGCTATGGACCAATTACTCGATGCTTCGCTCGACTATTCTCCTTTATAAAAAAATCGACATTTCAAAATATGGCAAACTAACGACCTTTTTGAAAAACAAATCACAGGGATACAAACCAAAGAAGTCTAAGACATTAGAACGACCTGAAATAGAGAAGTTTTTGATCGAAGCTCCCGACGACGAGTACCTATTGATGAAAGTGACTTTGATAATGGGGATTAGCGGTGCTTGTAGATGCGATGAATTGGTCAATTTGAAAGTAGAAAATATTCAAGACAAAGGGAAATATTTTCACGTAGTTTTGCCAGACACCAAAACCAAAAAATTGGGAAGTTTCACCATACTTGAAGAAGGATCTCCATTCAGCCCGATCAATTTGTGTAAAAAATACATGTCTTTGAGACCAAAGAAACTAGTTCTGGCCGCTTTTTTGTTTTTTACAAAAATGGGAGGTGTACCAGCCAGTGTTAGGGAATAAATACGTTGTCGAAGATACCTTCAAGAATTGCAATATTTTTGAAATTGGAGGAACCAGCGCTCTACACCGGTCACTGCCTGAGAAGGTCTTCGGCGACTCTTGGCTAATGCAGGGGCTAACATTACTACTTTGAAGCGTCACGGAGGATGGAAGTCCTCGACGGTAGCAGAAGGATACCTAGAAGAATCGGTGTATAACAAAATACAAATTGCAGAAAATATAAAAGGTTCTAATGCGTCGGCGTCTTCCAGCACTATCAGCAGCTGTACCGATATGGGAGCGTCTGGTTCCAATGAACAAACGAATTTTACAATGACTTCAAATTCGAATAAACCGTAAGCGTTTTCCTTTAATTTCAATATCAATGTGAATTCTGTTTGTAATAGTAATAAATAAATATATTACTACTTTAAATATAAACGTGAGTTATGGATTATAACATACTAGTGTGTTATTTGATAGTTTAAAATGACATTAATAATGACAGTCATAACTGTCATGTGTTGGATAAAATAATGATATATTTTGCTTACTTTATTCCGCAAACCGGTGCATTCCTTTTAAAAGCAATAGCATATTTTTCATTGCTGGTATAGGAGTTCAAATTTCTAAAATGATCATATCCAAACGATATTATTTCCCCTCTGGATTCTGTGTGGTATTGTATGGCACCCAGGGGAGCTGAAAATAATTTGAAATTAATTGGTCCAGTAATAATTTAACAAGTTATTTAGTATGCATACCTAGCATTGAGAAATCGGTTACCACATCATCAGTATTTACGAATCCAGGGCATTCCAGCTGTGTAACTTTAATCTTCCAGTTGGGGTTTACATTGGAGTTTGTAATCATGTCCAGTACAACTTTTTTGGTTCCAGTACTCTGATTTACATGAATATACACTAAAAATTATGAGTGTATAGTACATTTACAAAGCTTTTTCAGCTCAATATTTTCGGATGAAATTGTGGTGACTACGTCAAAAATGATTGAAAAAATTCACAATGGTCTTTAGTAATCAAAAAGTCAAATTCGCTTGCAACTTCCCTTATGTTCTTCCTACTATTTTAATCAAAGGCATTGAAAATAGCTTCTTTATTTTTTTTCTTAATACGTTAAAGAGCAACTATTATACATATTAAAATATTAACAATGCATCCTAAGTATCTAAGTAATTATTTTTTTTTTGAAAATAGAAAAAGTTAAAAAAGAAACGATCCAATTGTAGAAGTCGAAAAATATTAATGGGTCGACCCAAAATAATGTGTTTTTCTATTTTTTAGTTTACAAGCATTTTATTTTTGGTAAAATTTTATCCAAAAAAACTGCAGAGAAAAGGATTATAAAAAGAGTAATCTCAATTTTATAAACGCTTGAATTCAACACAAATATTCTTTACATGAATATTTCATTGTTGCATTTATGTATGATGCCTAAAATACAAAATGTAGGTATATTTAACTAACTGTTTCTTACATTACGTTGATTATTGTACATATTTGACTATCTTAGCTGTGTCGTAGAAAGGTAAATAGTGGGAAAACCAATATTTATCCTAAAGTAATAGTAAAGAATACCTTTTGAATAATTACACACCTACACCTAAAAGTCCTACCATGACATTTGAATACAAATAATTAATAATACGCTAAAGAAGCATCTGGTGCATACGAACTGCACATAATTTTTAAATAAATAAGTAGTTTTTTCACAAAAGAGAGGAAGGCAGAGGTCTTACTCGACAAGTTTTGTTCGCAAAGTTTTAATTGCACTGCTAAATCGCGCAAGTTATTTGTGTTTCGCGTTGCAAGTAAAAACTAAAAACTTTGGTTAAGTACTCGATTTCGATTTATTTTATTCCTTATATCGTTGATTAAGAAACTCAACGCTTATATCTTATATAGTTACGTTAGTTTGTGTACTTTATCTAAATCGTTGCATTTTCATGTTTTGCCAAAGGATCCAATATCGTACTACATAATTTATATTTAAGTTTGGACATTTTTAAGAAATCTAACAAAAAATAGTAGTTGAGGAAACATAACATTAAAATTAAACATTTTAATATTTGAATCCTCTAAAAAACGGCGATAACTGCATTTTATGACAAAATAATAATAAACGAGATACAGGGTGATAAATGTGAGATCTGATTTTTTTAATTTTGTTATATTTGGAAAACTATTCAATGTATCAAACTTAAAATGTGTACACAATAGTTTTTAAGGAGAGAGAGAAATACAAATTTGTCATTATTTTGTATGCTACTCCTAGAGGGCGCTAATGACATGTCGGTAAATTAATACTTACCTAATACTTACTTAATATTTTACCCCTTGTATTATTAACATTTTTAGGAGTAGCATAAAAAATTATGACAAATTTGTATTTCTCGTCCATAAAAACTATTGTGTACAAATTTTGAGTTTGATACATTAAATTTTTTTCAAAATATAACAAATTTTCAAAAATCAGATCTCACATTTATCACTGTATATCGTTTATTATTAACATTTTACTAAGACATATTTGTATTAATCGACCTATTTTGACCTATTTCTATAGTTGCTGTATTGTCCATTAGTTATGTGACATTCTGTATAATATAATACCCTTTTTTTGTTTTTACCGTTGAGTGGACACTTTCTCAATCAATGCTTTTAATAATGCATAACGATTTTTAAATTTGGACGACTTATTAGTTTTATGATTTTTTTAACTTGTTTAATAGTATTTAGGCTGGAGAGACTAAATTTTTATTTAAGCGTTAACTCAAGGATGTATAAAAACGCGTAAATATTAACGATATCTCTTAAAAGGCAGCAAAAGTCTAATTTCCGTTGCGATTGTCATAAAAAAGAGTGATTTCTAAAGAAAGTGAATTTTGCTTCACGAGCGAAGCGCCGCCTTTTGCCACGATATATGAATTGCCGAACAAAATCGCTGTTGTACTCTTTAAAAATGACTTATTACTACAGTTAAGCGCCAATTCTTATATAAAATTTTCCCCTGAACCCGAAAATACTGTTAAAAATTTTGAAAGTAGAGCAGTTTTTGAGATATAATCAATTCCATATTATATGGAAAATTGACTATATCTCAAAAACTGTTCTACTTTTATAACATTTGACGACATTTTCGTATTTAGGGGACAATTTTACATGGAAATTGACGAGAATTATTAGTGGCTGCTTTTTCACTATGAGAATTAGTCATTTTTGACCAATTAATTTTTAGAGAGTATGTTTTTTGTCCAAAAGTATATTTAGTAATTAATGGAATTCTTACCATGCTGATTATTGTTATTTCCACAAAGCTCTGGTAAGTTGTAAATGTTTGGGAAGACTTTAAATCGGTCCAACTCGCATCTGGATATATTATTTCTTACTGTAGCTGGTGCAATATGGAATAGCTCAAAATCTAGCCTAAAAGAAATAAAAAATTATTTTTATAACAATGTTTTTTTTTAATAATACAACCCTACCTT